CAGCAGAAATGGCCATTTCCATGCTTCACTGGTATGCTGTAAGTCCCCCTCTGTGCCCTATCTACAAAGGAAGCGAGTCTATAATAGTTCTCAGCTGAACAACTTAGCTTCTTAGCTCAAGCTATACAGACTCAGGCTTTTCACTTTTCCTGCCACTTAACTGGGCCCAAAATGTTTCATTCAAAACATTTCAGGTTTGATGAACATATGCCAAAGCCAAGGCACAGCTCCTGTGGGATCCTGCCTGGATACCATGCAGACTGTTTCACAGCTGGGAACCTGATGTTTTCAAGGTCAATGGTGCCATGGCACACGCAGCAACAGGAATGCTCCACACCCAGGAACCCAGACTGTGACCTGATGCTTCCAGGGTTCCCAGGCCTAACATAGACCTGCCAGGAGAACTCTGCCAAGGTCAAAGATACCAGGAGTTCCAGCTCCTAGGCAGTCAGTTCTGCCAGGGCCTCCAGCAAAGCCTGAAATCCCTGGGAGTTCCAATTTTAACCAGAGCACCAGACATGGAGATCCCAGGTAGCTGGCCTTCTTGTCAGAGTCACTGAACAGCTGGAAGGTCCAGGGAGCATATTTCATTTGGGAACCTCCCATGACATTTTCTTGGAGTGCCTGATTCATGGAAAATATGAGAACAGGTTTTGTTTCTGTGTGACTTGGACTCAAACCAAATTAAAAAAAAATGTAATTTCCTGCAAATTAGAGGCCCTGTTTTTTTAGCCCTTTCTACTACACAGGTCCCTATGCCAATGATTAGTGTCTGCCAAGATGGCAACTGTCATATCAGTAGAAGCCCACTAAAGATTAGAGCTGCTGTGAGCCTCAGATAATCAGGATGAGTTTCCCCAGTCTAGGGGAAGAATGTAACCCACTGGTGAGCAGATTACTCCTATTTCTATTGCTTGTTTAATAGTTTTAAACACCAGAAAAGATCTTGTCAACTGGTGAGATAACACTTAAGTCTCCTTAAAGGAACAGCTCTCCACAAGCAGCTGAACTGGAAGATGTGCTGCACCTCTTTCTGGACCTATTGCTGTGAATATAAATAAGTTCTGGTCTTTAAATCTGTAGCGGGTTGGGGCAGGGAAAGGTTCCCAAGAGAAGCTGGCAGTGAAGCAGATACAGCATTTTGGATACGACCATTTTCCTCACCTGAAGAACCAACTTAATCAAATGCCTCAGATCAGAAATTAGACAGAGATTCCTAACAGTTCACATAATAAACTAAACCAGGAAAAGCCTTCCATCACTTGCAGTCTTTAAATGAAGGCTGGGCATCTCTCTAAAAGGGTTATACTGATTCAGCCAAAATCTACGGCTCTGCTGCAAGTATTGCTGAGTACAACTCTCTCATGTCCTATGTGTGTCAGACTACAATGTCCTTCTAGTCCCCTCACACCTTAAATCCTATAACTCTTTGTCTCTAGTGGGTTATGGAATAGAGAAAATCCCACACAATTTACTGATTCGTTTTGATGCACTGGCTGGGGGAGTAGTTAGCTGACTGCACGATTTCACAATGATTACACACTTAATTCATACAACACAATTTTATTTTAAAACTCTTTGCTACGTATATAACACTGCTTAGCTTTAAGAAACACCACAAACTTTAAGAACACAATAACTACATATATCAGAAACAATGCTCCGAATGCACTTCCTTCCCAAACAATGCTATAAGAATTAGTATTACAAAAACAACTACAATTACAACTAAAAGTTAAATTTGAATCAATACTATTATTTTCATAATATACTTACAATCCTAGAATTCCGAGAAGCCAAATACCAAAATATGGTTTCATTCCTCAGTAGTACAATTTAATGGGTTGGCCTCAGTAGTACGGTTCAATGGGCTCGCCTCAGCAATACAATTCAATGGGCTGGCCTCAATACTGATAGGAATAAGTCCCCTTCTTTCAGTCCCTTTCGGGCGCTCTGCAGCTTCAGCGTGAACTAAGAGATTCGTGTTCACGGAGAGGTTGGTTCAGGTGATCAATCTGATCCGGTCTACACTTGCGATTCTTCCTTTGTTGTTCTGCAAGTGAAATCACCTCCAAATTGGGACAGTAAATTACAGTTTTTATTGAGTGAGCTGCCGTCAATGGGCTCCTCCTACTCAAACCTGTCATTACCCCCAAATTTGGGCTCAGATCTTACTCAACAGATTATTTTGCTTGGTAATTAGTTTCCTTTGTTGAGCATTTTAAATTACTCTTGGGGAGCTTCCATATCACTGCAAAAGACCTTTTCTTACCAATCTAGTCAAAAGGCTCTAGGGTTTGATCTCTCGGAACTCAGGATATTTGCTCTCTTTGTAAAAGACTTCTAAAGATAAAATTCAAATTAAGACTTTAAGCAAAGTCAGGACCTTTTGCATGTAGTCCAAAAACAATGACTTAGATAAGGAGATAAATCTTATCTTCTTCCTGAAACTGGCTAATGGGCAACCATTACAAACATTCAAACTATTTCATTCAATATGACACTCTTTATGACTATTAGAAGAAAGAGATGGCTAACATGACATGGTGTCAGATATTGTCACATTTTCAATCATCCCAGATGAGTGTTCACCAAACAGTAAATTCAGCCTTCTGGAACTTTCAGTTTGATAGGGCTGTGGACCAACTGATGCAAGAGGAAATGGACTTGAAAATATTAATTACTTGTCTTGGCTGAACGAGATGGAAATAATTATAACTCTGTGGGTGCATCTACACAAGACACTACTGTGCAGTGGTTACTGCGCATTTATTTAGTACTCGTATAAGCACTTGTATAAGCAAGTACTAAATAAATGTGCAATAACTGGAATTAATGAGCAGTAGCGCTCATCATTTTAAGTGATGCTACTGTGCAGCAGCCTAATAATACTGTGCAATAGTGTATTAGTATTGCCAGTGCTGTGACATGCTCTTGTACAGTACTATTCAGCTACTTCACAGTCAGCATCTTGTGTAGACGTGAGGTACTACTGAAAGATCTCTGAGCATTTCATTCCATTCAGCAGTCCAGTACAAGAATATCCATGCCTTCACTGAATGGAGGAGAGATACAGAGGAATTATGAGAGCTTTTAAGAGCCCTGTATGAACAAGGACTGTATTATGACTTTGGTCTCATTTAAAAAAAAAACAACAACAACAAAGCATGAGATCATTTAAATACCTGGGATTATTAAACAAGGAACTTTCTGAACAGTTACAGTAAGTATTAGAGCTAACAGCAGAACAAGGGCTCTGCAATCTGAGTCACAAGGAAAGGAAACAACAAAAACATAGTGCAGGAAATAGCAAGGGAAAAAAAATCCTTTGCAGGAAAAAGAGAAAGGCATTTAAAAGAACTGAGGTCTCTGGACAAAAAACAAAAAAAAAAGAAAGGGGGGAATTCAGGACAGGAGAGGTTTGTCTAGCAAGCAGATTTGGGCATAGGAAATGTACAAAGACACAGGAGCGTTTCTGTTGAAGCAATGAATCAGGGAGGTGGTCCAACAAAGGGTGGGTAATAGGTTTTGTAGTTTCATAGTTGGTAGGGTCGGAAGGGACCTGAGCAGATCATCAAGTCCGACCCCCTGCC